CAGCAAACTCTGGTTCAACATCTTCCCGGTTTCCAACCTTTGTGGCCACAAATTCCACTGAACAACCACCACCCTCCCCCACTCAGCAACATCTGAATACCCCACCCCCTATTTATGATCGTATTACCCACCCTTTAACCCTCATTCTTACCTACACCTCGCGCCCCACCCCCTTCATGTCCACCACCAGTTGATGAACCCTGCAGGCTTACCCACCCCCTCAGTCTGACACCACACCTTGTCCCATCAACTCCAGACCCCTCCGTCACTACCCCTACCCATGTAAATATCGGCACGAATCTATTTGACCCGGCAGGTATACTTCAAAAATACCCCACAAAGCACCTCATTCAGTACCCTGATTCTAAAAATACCCCCCTATTTCCCAGTACCCTACGAATTATATTAGGTAATACCAGACAGGGTGTAACCCCCCACCCCTTGGGTAGGACCCTCTACCCCTCACCTTCCCTCGCCCCCCAAATCCAGGGCATAAAAGATGTTGCCCCGACTGGAGTAGCACCAAACCTCCCCATGCACCTGACGCGCCCACGTACCGCCTCTGCCTCTGCCTCCACCACCTCCGCCGCCTCCTCCTCCTGCTCCTCCTGCTCCTCCTCCTGCTCCTCCTGCTCCTGCTCTTTTCCTTTCACTTCTCGCAGGTCGTTGAGACGCGGTCTCTTGTGTGGGCACTCGTTGCTAGCAGAGGAGATCGAGAACGTGTGGCATCTCCCAGACTTCGAGCGCTACCGACCCAAGACAGACACCAAGCTCCTCATCGTTGCTTCTCACTATGAGGCCTCTTCAAAGAAGCAAGAGTTTCTCGGTCGGGCAACTGAGTTCGACGCTTCGTCTCACTGCTGGCCGCCGCTGCTAGGAGGAGCCAGCGTGTCGGGAGCCTCGTCCACAGACTTCGAGCTGGTGGACGAGAGGCTTGCGAGCTCAGACGAGGAGTACGAGATGGTCAGCATGATGACGGATTCGGCAAGGAACTGAGGAGCGCAGCGAAGAAGTACTCTTGCTAGGGGACAAC